AGACCAATTGTAATTATTAGTGGTTATGGTTCTTATACTTTATTTTTTTAATCCATAGACTAAAATGGATAAAAAGTTGATCATTTTATCAAATTTGGGATTTTTTTTTCACCTAAAAAAATGATAAGGATATCTACAAGCTAGCTTTTATTGAGACTAAATTCTCTCCAATTAAGTTTTTATAAAATTTTATTATAATCAAATTGTTATACAAGTTTAATTTGATTGGATGCATTAACTTAAGCCAAATATAAATAATAAGGCTAAAATAAACTCTTGATTTAAATAGACTTAATAACTTAAAAGCCCCATCCTAATTTAATAAGTACTAATTAATTTTTTTAAGAAAAACTAAAACAAGTGAGGTATTTCCTATTCACTTACTGTTGCTTAAGACTTATTGCTACTGTTCCTTAAGACTCATTTGCACTGTTGGCCATCTCTCCTTCGATCTTGGCTCCTCATTTTCGTTGGCTGTTTGTTAGCCATTTGATCTTCATGTTTCATGGTGAGCTGTATCAATTTTTCCTTGCCCTTATGTCGCTTCCTTTTTGTTTGGGCCACTGACATTTAATTTTTAACACTAAAATCTCAGCCCTTCTATTTTTCTCTCTCATCACTTACCCAAACAAAACTTTCTCTCATCTCAACCCTTTTTTTTTAACCCTAAAATCTCAACCTTTCATTCAACATATATAAAGAAAAGATTTTTCTCTCTCGTCACTTGCTTCTTTCGGCTTCCGTCTCTTCTCTCCTCTTCGCACCTCAAAACCCTAGCCACCGCCAGAGGCTCCACCTCCACCTCTGTCCGATCCACTCAATTCCTACTCAATCGATCAATCATCGATAAATCTCCTTCCATTTTTCTTTTCAATCGCTATTTTAGCGTCGATTCAGGTTCTCACTGTCTCGACTTAGTGTAGTCTCTTAGAGTCTCCTTTTAGATCTTCACCTACACCACTTACATAATATTTATGCCTTCGTGATGGTAGTTTCTGTGTGGTTATTATTTGACTCAATGAGATTTATTTTTAATCTATGAGTTTCTATGATTTTTCTATATTTTAATTTATATGCCTGCAATTAGATTGAGCTGGAATAGATTTGTGATAAATGGTGCTTCTTTTTAATTTTATATTATCTGCATCATTTATAATGTGTATGTGTTTTATAGAAATTGAAATTAAATAAAAAATGAAGAACAATTGTTTTATTTTTTAGTGGATGGGACTGTAAAGAAGAGAGTTGAGGATGTAATGCCTATTGCTATTGGACATGAGCGGGAGGTGCTTGAGGTACTCCTCTCCCCCTCTTGGAAAATTAGGAATGGCAAAAGTGAGTTATGTTTTCAATCATGTTGAAAAACAGGAAGAAATGAACTGTTGAGTTCTCTGTTTTTTTGATTTGTCATTTTGATTTGCATGAAATGGGAAGCTAAATGTAACGTAGTGCAGTGTCACATGCATTTGTTGTTACTTTGTTTTGTTTGGATCTAATTATGATAATTTAAGATGATAATGCATCCCCCCTTTTTTTTATTCTAGTGGTCATAAGCCAAAATCTATTTTATCAGTTTGGTTTAATTAGATAGTGGGTAAGAGATTATTCTGATTTCGATTGTTTTTTTGCTGTTCAAGGAAGGAAAATTCTTGATATAGACTATCCTGAAGGCCCTTTTGGCACAAAGGTTAGTGCTTTGCTCTTTTCAAATTCAACAATGTTGATTCTGATTTAATATTGTGTTTTTTAATAGGTTAAGTCATTCCCAATGTGTGCTTTTATATATTATTATACACTTCTTATTTATTTATTTGCATTTTGAGATTAGTTTGCCTAAATTTCTTCTTTTTTTAACAATTAGATGAACAACACACTGATTGATGTGATTAGATTATTCTGCTTTTTTAAAAATATTTTAACTGCGTTAGATATTAAATTTGTAATAATGTTTAAATAGATTTGCTAAAAGAAAAGAAAATCTTTGAAGAAAATGAAGAAGTACGAATGAAGAAGTGGAAAGGAAAAAGATGAACAAGATGGCAAATAATATGAGTTTTGTTATTGATTAATGTTTTCGCTTTCTTTTGATAAATGTGTGGATATTGTATTTTTTTCTTTCAGATTTCGTTATTTTTCTTCCCTCCATCATGCGAAATTGCCTTAGTTTATGTCTTTGTTATGCTGTCTCAGATATTTTTCTTTTAATAATTGTGTTTGGCCTCTTTTGATGTTTTTTTTAAAAAATTATTTGTCTATACTTTTCTTTAAAATGTATAATTTAGATTGTTTTATTTACTTGATTCCACAATGCTTTTCTTCTTGATTAGGTTTATTTTTTTCCTTCACTTTTCCTGATTTTTATTTTTATTTTTAATCGATTATGTTTTGTCTTGATTTAGTTTTTTCTAATTGATATGTTTTCTTTTTTATTGTTGACAGAATCCATGTGTGAAGCAACTGCTTCCAAAGGGAACCGAATATTTCCTCTATGTTCATAGGTTCCTTCTTCATTTCATTATTATGTAGTTTATGCTAATTTCTTGGTGTTTTTCAAAAATACATGACTGTTGACCCTCATTTTTGTTTGTTAGTTTATGTGTCAACTTCTCTTTTTACTTCTTTTTTAGTGCATTCTTAAAGACTTTCTTAAAAAATACATGACTATATCAAATTTTTTTGTCAAACCCAAAAACACAGCAAGTGTTATTGATTATAACCATTAGAGTTATTGAAAGGGGAAAGGAAAAGCTAGCTGTTTTACCTATGGAATGAGATTTTGTTATGTGTTATTATAGTCTGTTTTATGTTTTTATTTTTAAAATAATGCTAGACTATTAAGATGTGGAAACATAAATGATTGCTGAAATTAGGGAAGACAAAATCAAATAATATCATAAAATAAAAAGAATTACAAACTACCAGCTCTTATGCACAAATTATAGTGCCTGATTTTTATTATATATTAATGAGGGAGTTGGTGAGATTTAGATATAATTGATCAAGATATAGATATGTGGTAGTTTTCCCTTGCTTTATTTGGCATCAACTAAGACAGAAATTAGATAATACCAATAAGTGATTCTTGAATAAGAAAAGGCTGCACTAACTAGTCATTCCATAATTTAGGATTCTTACGGATGCTTTTTATCTGCTCTCTCATCATTGTAATGTTTTTTCTCAAATTAATTAAGTTTTTCATTTCTGCAACTGATAGGAATCATAAAATTAAAATGTCAATGCCATAGGTTTACTTGCTATCTAATGCCATGTTTATTTCTATATGTAAGAATCCATGGTTATGCTTTTCATTCTGTCTTAGGTCAATACCAGTTCTTTGCTGGTCTTTCCCAGATCCGTATGCTGTGAACCGCATGAGCAAACTTATTAGGTTAAATTTAGCATATTGTTGGTGACTATAGAGGTTTATTCTAGCAGTAATTTTCCTCAGCAGTGGTATGTAAAACATTATCTTGGTTGATTTGACCTAATCTTTTCTTATTTTTGAATTTCCTATCAGATATTTGAGTAGGTTTTGTATTTTTACTTTTAATTGGGTGTTCTGAGGTTGATTTATTTTTGTCGAATTCTTGATAGGAATCAGTGATTCTTAGATAGCTGCATAACTAATTTTTCTTTCTTCTTTGATTTCTACTATTATTGTTTTCTTTTCTTGATATGTCTGAACTACATCGGATGTTTTTGTTTAATCAGGTCGATATCATTAATTCAAGCATATCGAATTCTGATTGATAGTTTCCTTTTGAGCTTTTATTTCTCTGCTAGCAAGGCAACATGCATATGATCTTCAATTTTACAAGAGTTAGAGAATCTGGTGGTTGCCCCCTTGAGAATTGTTTTTGGCCATTGATTTCATTAACGACGTAATAGACTAATAGCTGTGTGTTTAGCAATTCGTCAAGAAGCTAGGAGTAGGAAACTTAAGATACCATATTGCAATTGATTTCTTTTTTTAATTGCTAAAGAAAATGTAGTTTTACTGAATTGACAAGTGAAACTTCAAATTTTTATCTCAAAATAAATAGGTTTCCCCAATAATTTCTATTAATTAGCTTTATTTTTGGCCAACATTGTATATTAAATGATCACTATAATTATTTTCAGCTAAATTAGATTTATAAACTAATTGTGACAATAAAAATATTAAATATTTACATCTACATATAATATAGATTTATAAAACAAATAAACATTATTAAGGAAAAATAAATAAATAAAATAGTATGTAAAAATCTTCACTTTTTTTTATTTCTCCTAGGTGTGGTAGCTATGGAACGAAGTTCTTTGTATTATATCCCTAACATATTCACAAAACAAAAGGAGAATTTGGGGTTTTTAAAAATTTTAGAGGAAATACAGCAGTTCTTCATAATCTGAATTTGAATTCAACCAAACAGACTTGATCATCTATATAAAACGAGTACCAGACCGCAGCGAAGCGCGGTTACCCCACTAGTCTAGTCTAAATTAAATAAAAACTTAAATAACTAAGGACTTATGCAATCTATTTTAAATTATGACTTAATTTAGGATAGTACAACTGAATATGGATTCACATATTATATGACTCATAAATAAAAATGATTTCTAATTGAATAAAAATCCAAACCAACTAAGGATCAGATAAAACCCAATTACAAAGAGAAATCCGTAAGTAAAAAAGGATAAATAAATAACTAAAATAAAATAAATAAAAGGACTACTTATTTCGGCCTCCTTTAAGATTCAGCTTGTAATTCTCTGGCTCAAGTTCTGCTAAAAGCTCCTGCATCGTACTTTCCGAGTCGGAGAAAACTCATTCTTGAGTTTAAAGCTTTTCAAGTCTCGATCTCTTAGAAATTTAATCTCCCTGGTCCAGGCCAAACAAATCAGTCTAATTCTCCTCTAAACTCAAGCTGAACACATTGTGGTCTTCACAATCATGTTCAACTGGAACTTTAGTGGAATCCTTTTCCTCCACAATTCTGCCTTGAACACACTCATTAAGCCCAGGCGTTGCATCCATTAGTACCACTGTAGGGGAGGAATATGTGATTAATTAAAACAGTAACTAAGTCTTCAAGATTTGGCTGCATCACAACTTCTTGTTGAGACACTCCTTCTGTAGTATCTGTCAAAACCGCATAGCGCAACCACTCAAAATTTTGCAACAACATGCTTCCTTTGCCTACAGCAGCCTTTAACAATTATATCAGTAACATACGCGGTAGATAATTCCTTCATAGCTTCAAATAAACTCAGCAGGAGCAACACAGTCTCATTTTCAATGGTGGCAGTATCATGTTGGAAGAAAGAACTCAGATTTGCTTGAAACCAACTGTTTCAACTGCTCATCTTTGCTTTGGCAGTCTTGTCTTAATTCCTTTTGCAGAAGATTTAACGGACCACGGGAATTAATTGAACAGACCACAGACTCAGCTTGTCTGCCTTCTCCAGTTTGCTCATGTCTTTTAGAGTTCTCCTTTTTGTAAACAACAACCCTCATGAGCACAAGGTGTCCTCCTCAAATAAACCAAGTCCGAAATCTTTGGAGTTGCTATTACTTATCCCAGAAAGAATATAAGCATGCATGCACAAATCCTTCTTAAAAATTCTCACAAGGCCTTCACAGTACCAGGTTTCGGCCATTCCACTATGGCCTTAATTTTTTTCTGGATCTACTTGCACACCATTTTCGCAGATGATACGGCCCAAGTATTGAAGTTGAGTTTGATCGAATTGGCATTTCTTTTTCTTTACTGCAAGATGATGGGTTCTCAGAATAGAAAATGCAAGTTTGAGGTGCTTTTCATGCTCAACTAGAGTGCAACTATAGATTAGGATGTCATAAAAAAAAAAACACCAAGATGAATCTCCGCAATTGAGCCTTGAAAATTTCATTCATGAGAGACTGAAATGTAGATGAGCATTAGAGAGCCCAAAGGGCATTACCAAAAATTCAAAATGCCCATGGTGAGTTTGAAAGGTTGTTTTGGAGATATCCCCATAATTTATTCGAATATAAAAATATCCAAACCAAAGGTCTAGCTTGGTGACAAACTTAACACCGTGTAACTCATCCAATAGCTTATCAATAACTACAATTAGAAATTTGTCACTCACTGTTACCCCGTTGAGTACCCTATAGTAAACACAAAATCACTAGCTTCCATCATTCTTTTTAACCAACAATACTGGGAGGAAAAAATGACTCTGATTGTGCTTGAAGTCGTACCCTAATGGAGAGGTTGAGGGTTGCTCACCGATGACATCCGGGTTCGATTCTTTCTACGCACGTCTATCACCCCCGTGGTGCCTTATCTGTCCATTGGGCTTGTAGGGTGTTCGGTGAGTTCATAGATTAGTCGAGGTGCGCGCAAACTAGTCCGGACACCTTGGGTTATCAAAAAAAAAAAAAAAAAAGACTCTGACTTGATCATATGATTCCTTGAGAAAACACTCCTCCACCAGTCGCTCAATTTCTTGTTCTTGGAAATGCAGGTATTGATAGAGATGAACACAAACTGGACCGATGCTAGGCTATAGGGGAATCTTATGGTCGTGAGTACGTGATGGTGCTAGCCTTGTAGGAGCTACAAATAAATCTTCAAACTCAACCAGTAAGGAAGGCAATTCATGATTGGGAGTTGCCTCAAGGGCTGTATGTAGTGGCTAATTTGAGTGTATGGCACATAACTATAGCCTAAATACTCTAACTTGACCTTGCTACAGTGTTCTAGGAAGGATTTCTCCCTCAAGAGCGATGAGCCTAGAGGAAAGAGATCCTTGTAACAACACCTTCTGCCCTTTGATAGTAAATTGAATCTGCATCCTATTAAAATCCCATAGGATTAGGCCTAGTGTGCACAACCATTATGCAGCCAAGACAACATCACACCTTTCTGAATATAACGAAGTAAAAATTGACTTTCATAGTGATGCCTTGTAACGTCAACTGAACCTTAGTGTAATGACCTAGGCTTGACAAATTTCACCATTGGCGACCACCACATTGAGTAAACCACTAGGAACAGATCGGAGGCCAGCCAATTTTACAAACCTGTGATGAAGAAAATTATGGTTTGAACTGGAATCTATTAGAACTGTAAGGGGAGTTTTACCAATTTGTGACTGTGTACACATGGTTTAAGGAGATTGAACCCCAACCAAAAGATGTAAAGAGATGGCTGGTGTTTCATCTCATCTATAGTGTTGGTTATCTTCTTCCATAACCTCAATAAAAGAGGACTCGTCGTCAGCCTTGATAAGAAATAGCTTGCAAGATTGAACTGTAAGGGAATGTTCTGGTGATGTGCCCTTACTTCCTCCAGTGGATGTTGAGCTCCATTGTGGGCTGCTACAACCTAAAGGAGAAGATGTGGAATGAGGAGTTTGGCACACCTTTTGAGCCTTATTCTTATAGGCGTGGGCCAGGCCAGTTGCAGTAGTTAATGTTTGTGGATTTCGAATCTTTACATCAGCTCGCAAATCATCCTTCAATCTATTAATAAAACATTCGGCCACTTGCTTGTCAGTGAGGGTGTCCGTACGAGAGAGGAGTCTCTCAAATTGAGTCTGATAGCTAATAACAGAAACTGTTTGTTTTAGTTTACACTAGTTGGGATCTGTTTAGAATAAAATCATTTTTAAATTTTAAATTTTTTAATTATAATTTTTTATTTAATTAATTTTTTATAATTTTTTTTATAAATTTTCTTTAAAAAAAAAAACTATAAATCATTCTTCTTTATGGATTGATTTTAAAATAAAAAAATTATAATAATTTTAACTAAAATATTAATCAAGAATTAAAAAAAAAACTTCAAAAATATAATTTTCATAATATTGTATTCCAAAAAATAAATTTATAATTAATGGATAAAATTTTATAAAATTAACAAATGAAATTTTTTTTATTTAATGCTGATGAGAAGATTAATTTTTAAAATTATATGCGCAACAATATAGGTAGATAGAATAAAATCATTTCAAAATTTCATAATTAACTTTTTATTTCATTATAACTATTTTTTGTGTTTTTCATAAAATTTCTACTTAAAAAAGATCATTTATTATTTTTTATTCAAGGATTCTTAAATAAAAACTTATAATAATTTAAACCATAAATATTAATTAAGAATTCAAAAATGAATGCTTTAAAATTATATTTTCTTATAAGAATGTATACAAAAAATAAAGGTACAATTAATGTATAGACTTGTATAAAAATTAACCAATAGAAAAATAAAATTTTATTCTTATTTAATGTTGGTAAGAAGATTGTTTTCCACTATTTATATTTGATATATATATATATATATAATAATCAATAAAATTAGCATAAAATAAAAAAATAAATTTTTATTCTTATTTAATGTTGGTAAAAAGATTTTTTTTCAAGTATATGCATTTGATCTACACACACACACACACACACACAATAATCAATAAAATTAGCATAAAAAACTATATTTGAATAATTGGTTGGTTCTTTTAAAAAATTATTTTATTTTAAATAAATTGGTTCTATAATGTTAAAAAAATTCATAATAAATAATTTGTATTATGTTGGAAGATGTATAGTTAATTTTTAATATAATAATAATAATAATAATAATAATAATAATAATTAGCTTGATGTGAATTTTTATAATAAATTGAAAAGATCAATTTTAAATAATAAGAATAGTATATATTTATTCTAAAATCTAAAAACATATCGTATATATTATATAATGGTCGAGTTTATATGAAAAAAATAATGTTTGATTTTTTAAAATTTGAACACCCAATTAAATAAAAAAAATAAATTGATGAAAAAAATCAAAAGAAAAAAAAACTTTTGTAATGCATCGATTAAGGGGGTTAAAATTTTTATTTTAAAATTCTAGAAACCAAAATAAAATAATTTAGAAATTAAAAAAAAAGGGTGAACGAGTGATTTGTGAGGGGATGAACGAGTGAAATTTACTATTTAAACCCCTCACATCTTTTAGATATATAGTAACGAGTCTCCAAAGAAATCCCGAGTCACCGATTGCAAACCATTCCAATAGACCTACCTTCATACCTTCCAATGTGACCAAATTCCTTGATTCTTATAGTGTTGGTACCATAATTATGCATCCTTTTTTAAATGATATGCGGCTACCCAAACTTGATCATCGATAGTAGTGCCTTGAAATTCAAAGAATTGTTCTACTTGATAAATCCATAATTTGGGTCTTTCGAACCATCATAACGATGAAAATCAAGCTTCACGAGCTTTGGAACCTCCATTCCACTTGCATCCCCAATACCACCTTGTCCATATGGTCCCCAATTCCTATTGACAAAACCTTTTTCTATCACATTCAATCAAGAGTTCATTGGCAATACTAATTCATCCATCTATTTAAGTAGCCTTTCTTGACTTGTATTCAAGCTCTCCACCTATCTTGCAAGTCTGTTGAAGTCATTGATTGTCGGCCATTATTGGCTTTGACACCAAAATGTCACGACCTCGCCTTTCTCCTCGACCTCGTTCCCTACCATGAGCTATGTTGCCGACCAAGATTAACAAAAGGAGGAATTATAGAAAAAAATGTTTCAAGCATTAACTTCTTGGAATTTTCTCTAGTACTTTATTGCTAATTTATCGTAGAATTTATAAGCTTATAACTTAAGCATGATTAACCATTAAAGCTAGAAAATAGCAACTAGAAGACTAAAGAGTGGGTAGTTAAACTACAACCCATTATCGCCACTACTTGTTAATTGACTCTAACAAAATGACTTAATAACCGAATCTAACATGATGAGTCAACAACTAAAATAATGAAAGTCTAAAGAACACAATTCAATCAAATGACACTTTGCCAAATTTGTAATTCAATGATGTGGCTGCCATGTATTACACTTCATCATCATCATCATCATCCCCAATTTCAAGTCCTTTCTAAACAATTTATCTCCCAAGATCCAAATGCATGCTAGCCATATTTGGTTCAACAATGCCCAAGGTGGTTTTGAAGCTAACCATCGTCTCAACTTCATTCCTTGTAAGCCCTTCACCTTAGTTCTTTGAGTTTTAGAACCTTCTATAACTAACATTTGAATGCCAAAGAATCATAGTCTTGACTTTGGAAACTCTTTTTTTTTTTTTAAGGATAATAAGATTACTCATTCTCTCATCCGGTGTTTTTAATCAACACGGCTGAGCATTCCATATAAGGATATTACAATCCCTTAGAACCATCAATTTTGGACTCATACACAGTAAGACCTCCTCTCACCCCCGAATAAAAAATTAAAGCATCATTTCCTTTAAATCTAGAACATTTCTTGTTCAACCAACAAGCATTAACTTCACTCTTTTCCGTAACTCGCCCTAAAATTCCTAAAGAGTAGAAGTGATAATTATGGTCAACCTTGCCATATGTGTAGCAAAACTAGAGGAAAATGTCATATACAACCTTTTGACCTCTAGTTGGAATTATTTCAGATAGCAAAAACTTCTTTCCTTTCAGCACCACCGCTACTATTATCAATACCACGGTCATCATAATCATTGTCATGGTATTCATCATAAATAAGTGGTAAGTTTCAATTGACATTAGGAACATTCTCTTCTTTGTTAAACCCAAAAATATCATCGAAGTGAAAAATCAGCATCTTTACAATCGACCAATATATAAACAAAAACTCACCTAAACTCGAATACCAAATTGATGCCGGATCGAAAGAGGTCTAAATCTTGTAGAAGCTCAAATACTCAAACATAAAAAATAACCTCTAAGCAGAAGCCAATAAACACCAAGTCAGCCTCAAATTCAACCTAAAACCAAACCAAGTCACTAGCAAAATCCAATCAAATCAAACAATTCTAAAATTCTAGCAAAATCCAAAATCTTATAGAAGTTGAAACTTTAAATAACTTGTCCAAATATTCTAAAATTTTACACAATCTAGATGAAGTTGTGATCAAAATTTCAAGTCAATCCCACACTTTTTTAGATCCCTCTATTAACAAGTCAAAATTCTATCACGTATTAGAATCTCCTAAAATTCCAATAATATTCAACCAATCTGAACCCCCTTCAAATACTTCTATTTTTTATATATAATTTTAATCAAGACCAGATCATCCTCGATAAAAGTGATTTTCAAATCAATTAGAAAAGCTTAGGTGCCAAAACTATCCAACAATAGGTAATTCTAAAATCAATTCAATTCTTCAATCTAAACAAACAAAATAAATGGTGAAAGCAAATAACCCCCTCTTTGCAATAGAGTCCACCACCACAAAGATGAGATTATAATACTTACGGGATACATTTGTCAAGAGTCTACCTTATTCAATCAATATGAAGATGTGTTTTATGATATCGTAGCCAATACAAACAAAGGAAAATATGCAAAGAGTAAAGAGAAAAATCTCAATTTTTATTCATTCAAAGATTCATCCAAAGCCACCCTTACGGAAGCAACAAAAGTTTGCTTGGATATTGACTCTAAAAAACCTTAGCCAACTTTGGCTAAAAAATCAAAACCCTAATTTAGTTAGACTCATTAACTTAAGCCTAATATAAAATAATAAAGACTAAAATAAACTATTGACTTAATTGGACTTAACTACTTAAAAGCCCAATCCTAACTTAATAAGGACTAATTAATCTAGATCAAATTAAATATGAACTTAAATAACTAAGGATTTATACAATCCACATTCAATTAGAATTTAATTGAACTCAATCCAATTAAACATGGATTCATATTACATGAACTTACAAATAAATAAGGACTTCTAATTAAATAAGAATCCAAACCAATTAAGGACCAAATAAAACCCAATTAAAATAAAAATTCTTAAGTCAAAAGGATAAATAAATAACTAAATAAATTAAATAAAAAATTACTATTTCGACCTTTTTCAAAATTCATCTTGTAATTCTTGACCTCATGTCCTCCCGGATGTTCATGCATCACTCACTTCTAATCAGCATGTATTCTAACATTTTTTTTTCTTTTGCAAATGAACAATACTAAACGAGTCTCTCAAAAAGTAAATGATACTAGTCAAACTTAGAAATTGTAATAGATTTGTTATAAAGTGGGTAGCCTATTTCATAACCAACTCAAGAAATACTCATAAAGCATGTCTAATCCATAGTGAGATAGATTTGAATAAGAAAAAGTAAATACTAGTTACATTATAAGGTCTAGATACTCTTCATATCTCGGTCTTACCCAATGAATATATGCTAAAATTACAAACAAGGACCTAATTGTTGAAAAATATTTACATAAGGAATAAAATATTTTTTAATTGAGATTTATTTGTAAAACATATTAAATATAAGGACTAAAATAATTTTTGAAATGAATTATAATGACTGAAATGAATATCAATTATGAGATAGTTTTACCTGGTGTTCGCTAGGTACTATAGAAGCACATATTGACATGATATATTTTGGGCAAGAATTTGAAAGATAATTTTTTAATGAATATAGATCTGAATAACTTCTTTACTAGGTAAAGATATGAAATTACTTAATGGCCTCGATGCCTATCGCATGACAATTGCCATCCTTAGTCAAACTCACCAACAAGAATATTGTTTGTAAGTTTAGCTTAAATTAAATAATTAGGGATGGTAATGGGTTGGGTACCGGAGCCATTGAACCAATCTCGTACCCTGTCAACTAAAAAATACTATACCCATTAGTCACTAAGAATCAATTATCCATTTCTTTACTCGACCCATATTCATTGTATCATGTCTTGCCCATACCTTGTCCATACCTATTTATCCACTAATTTTTTCCTTAAATTAAAGACTTTTTTCAATTTTTTTTACCGATTTTTTTTTGTTACAAATTTTTTGTCTAGACTCTTTTTATATAGTAAGAATTTTCTATATAATTTTTTATTTTTATTTTATGAAATAAAAAGAGGTAATAAAAATAAATAATATGAAAAGATTGATGAAAAATAAAATATTCTTAAAATAAAAAAATATTAAATTAACTATGTTCGACATCGGTTAAAAAACTAATTAATTAATTTTTAAAACAAGATAAACTATTCAATTCATTTTTGTAAAACTAGAGGGACTAATTTATAATTTATTCCAAAAATGAATATGTTATTTGAGTAGTTTATTTCATATACCAATGCAAAGAGATAAAACGAAAAGAAATAAGGATAAATTATACTACATTTTTAATAACGAGGGTAATCCTCTACCCCAAATTCCTATGCCATGCATGCCTACTGGGTTTGCACCGAGTTGACTCTTAATGGAAATCCTAAATCTTTATCACTCGAGTTACTCCATTATGTAGCTACATATGACGAGATAAAAACAAAAAAAGAAAAGGATGCAAGAAATTTGAAATGAAAATAATCAATTTATGCCTCTAGCTTTGTAAAATAATATCAATTCTTTTTTATGTTAACGAGTAAAAAATGAGTATTAATAGGATAAAAAGAGGATATGCATATTCATGAATAAATTATCCATTAGCATAAATGGTTAATACTATTTTATCCATATTTAACCCATTATCCATTAGAGTATTTTAAAAGAATAATTAATGAACGGGATGAACAGTACTTATTTCATACCTGACCCATTTCCATCTCTAAAATAATGGATGCAAAGTACTTCCCCTTGTTTAACCTTTTCTTATGTGATTAATGTTAGAGAACATATTATTAGATGTGACTCACCGTGAGAACCCATTTGAATTAGTCTATGAGAATCTCATACAAGATGAGTACAATTGGTTCTTTGACTTGAAGTCATCATGGTTATCTCGTTAGAGAATTTATGTACTTTGACACTCATTTCAATGGGCTCACTCAAGAGCTGTACATGGGTGATTCATTGTGTGTATTAAGAATCTAATGAAGATAGGTGGATGACTAAGATAGGACATGTCATTTCTTATATGCTCGAAAGAGTTATCACATTGCAGTTTGATAAATGTCCGCTCAAGGAATCTATAATCATAATAGGAGTATACCAATATAGCATAGTTAGTTTACTATAGAGTTAAGACATTTAGAAATCGGAGAAAACTTGTGTGGTCGTAATTAAATAGACTACAAACTAAGTTCGAGATCACATTGTAATAAATTGACATGAGAACTGAATTGTATGGTACCCATGCTCATGAAAGGTAATTGCAAATTAATTAATCCTCCTAAAGAATTTGGTAGTCATGATGCCTTGTTAAAAGCTAATCTTGATTTATGTATCAAAAGATAAAAGAGGTGTTTTTTATTCTTGATACATTGTCAACATATCCGGAAGACTATTAAGTCACATGCATAAGTTTAAGCATTCATATAATAAAGGAGAAATAAAGATTTTGGAAAAGGTTTCCTATTTTAAAAGTTTTTTATTTTGGTAAAGGTTTTCGAAAAATGAAAAGTTTCATATTTTGAAAAAAGTTTCCTAAAATGAAAA